CTTCCATTCTATTCTATTCTTATTATTCTATTATTATTCTATTCTATTTTCTATTTCCTCCTATTCCATCCTATGCTATTCTACTGTTTTCTATTTTCTATTCTATTTTATTATTTTTCTATTCTATTATTATTCTATTCTATTTTCTTTTTTCTCTTCCCTTCCATTCTTCATTCCTCAGCCAGCCATACCGGCTCAGGAATCCTGGGAGTTGAAGTCCACAAGCCATAAAAGGAGCCGCAGTCCCCCCCACCTGTGCTGTAGGCTATCAGGGCCCTTGTTCTACAAAATCTAATTTTGTTTTAAGATGTTTAGTTAAGGTTTTCTCCCTCTCTCTCTTTTCTACCTGCGCCAAAAAATAAAAAAAATAAAAATCTCAAATTTCCGCCTGCCGGTTAAACTCTCTCGCTCTTCCTCTTCTCCCGGCTGCACCCACCAACCTCACCGCCTCTCCTTGCACCCACGAGTTTTACCCAGAGAAATCTTCTCCCCGGAATTGGCGGGCAAGAGGAAGACCAGAAATGTCACGGCCGAAAGGAGCAAGCAAGGCACCAGCATGTTCAGGGCGTAGTACAGCGTCCGGCGGCGCATAATGACCACGAAGGTGACGTCCAGGTAGGGCTCCCGGCAACAGTCGTAGAAAACCCGGTTCTCGCTGCCAGGGACACCTGTGGGACGGAGGGATGGAGAGGAAGCGCCTACTCCCGTGGGAAGAGTCAACTTCAGCAATGCCAGAGGGACCCCCGGATGGGGAAACGTCAACGTCAACTCTTACCCACAAGGTCCCACTCGCCGTTGGAGACGTAGCTGGACGTGTCGCTCTCCAGCATACGGAGGTCGAGCAGCCAGCCGTCGTGAGTCCAGGAGCCAAATTTGAGGTCGCATTTTTGGGTGTCAAAGGGGAACCAGCGGACGTCGATTCGACAGGTGCTTTTTAAGATCCCTGGAGGGGAAAAAAGGGGGGGGGGGAGGGAGGGTGAAGAATGGAGGTCGTAAGGAATGGCACGGATTAAAAGCAGGGACGTTTCGTGACCCAGCTAGGTAACATCATCAGTGCTGGTGAGGGTGGCTTGCTCCCTGTTTATATATAGTAGATCAGAGCTGGGTGGTTTTCCTGCAGACGTTTCATGACCGAACTAGGGAACATCATCAGTGCTAGAAGGGGAGGGGGGTTGCAGGGAGGAGGAAGGAGGAGGAGGAGGAGGAGGAGGAGGAAGAAGAAGAAGCACTGTGGGGGTGCTTGGTTCTCTCTGAACTTGGTTGTTTTCCTGCACACGTTTCATGACCCCACTAGGGAACATCATCAGTGCTAGGATAAAAAGATTTCCTCAAATGGTTGAGTGGCAGCGAAATCTCAAACTCCTTTTCTAAAATTTAGAATTATTTTTCTAGAAAAGTCATGCAGGACCCTGCGTGTAAAATAAAGACATCCATCCTGCAGCGCTCGGCGATTCAGACCTTATGCAACGCATCGGACTGATCGAACGGTTTTATTTTTTTTATAAGAAAAACGAAAAATAGATCTCCTTTTGGTACCCTTCCCGTCTCACCTGGGGGAAGCCACTGGCAGTAACCGCTGGAATTCACCAAGACATGGGTGTGGAGGGTGGAGTCGAATTCCTCGTTGGCACTGAGTAGGAAAATTGGGGAAGGGGGACACAAAGACCCACACATACACACACACAGAGCCCAGAGTCAGAAATGTCCAAGCTGCAGTCAAAACATTTACATTTCTCACCTCTTCCTGAGAGCAGAAAGGACCCCTACCCCCCCCCCCCCCCCCCGCCCCGAATAACTGCCTAGTCCAGGGGTCTCCCATATAGTCACTTGAAGACTTGTGGACTTCAACTCCCAGAATTCCCTTGGGGCTGGCTGGAGAATCCTGGGAGTTGAAGTCCACAAGTCTTAAAAGTGGACATGTTTGGAGACCCCGACCCACAATTCGAAATCTAGCAAAGGTTACATGATGGATGGAGAGGAGAAAACAAGAATTAAACTCTTTAACTAAACAAACAAACAAACAAACAAAACCACCTCCCAAGAATTTAAATTCTTTAAATAAAAGAATTATTTAAAGCCTGTTGAGAGGTTTTCAAAATCGCCACCGGCTTGATCTTCCGTAACTTTCTTTGTATCAACTCCAGGGACCCTAAAAAGTGTCTCCCCCCCCAATTTATGGAGCCCCGCCTTACCTGTTGTAGAGAAGGATGTCGGGTTTCCACACCTGGTCGGCCGAGAAACGCAGCGTCTTCACCCCGGGAAAGTCAGATTCGTTCCATCGCAAGTAATGGTCATACCAGTACTAAAAAAAAGAAAAAAGCAGGCCATTTTTTATGAGGCGCCTAATTTTGGGGTGCCCTTTCCCTTTTATCCTCCTTAAATTATATATAGATATAGATATTTAAAAAATGTACCATCTGCAGCCAGACATTGGTGGTGAGAACTTGATTCTTCTCGTCCTAAAATAAAATAAAATAAAATAAGGAATGTTTCTTAGCACCACCTTAAAAAGCCACGCGCCGTTTAAAAATCCAAAAAGCACTCTTCTTAGCCAGAGGCCATTTGGTTTAATCCTAAGGCACTGCTCGACTTACGACCGATTCAAAGTTATCACCCACGCGGAAAAAGAGATTTACTGAGGCGGTTTTAGAGTTTGAATGGTCGTCACCTCCTCTCTATCATCCTGAAGACGTTTTGGATTCTTGGCAACATTTACAATCGTTTGCAGCGGTCTCGTGGTTACGTGACCGCATTTTACGCCGGTTTTGCTGAAAACTGGCCTTTCCTTCCAG